AATTTGTAGGGCAACGGTGCGTTGCACGAACTCGCTATGCGCACTGAAAATGTAGCCGCTTCAATTGTAAATGTTGGGAAATGAAAATAACCTTAAACGTAAAACCGTGTCAAAAACGGCCAATTCCATCTTGTCAACACGTGTGCACGTGCTACGTGTCACGTGGCGGAAAAAAACTTACCAAATTAAGATGGCACATTCCGTGCGCTATCGCACAGTGCAGGTTGCACGTCCCTGCGACCATTCGTTATAAAGATACGGCTCCGGAAAGCGAAGCGTGTCGGGCCGTCGGCCGGAATTGCTAAATTGGCGTCGCCCGTGTTAAACTTATGGGGATTTTTGCGCTCGTGTTTCGCTCAGCACGTGCTCATTTTTGCGAAATGCATAATTTTGACAGGACTCTGGCACGCGCCGCAAGCGAGCCTTGGTCATGTGCGAAGTTCATGGAAAAATTCCTGACCGTTTAGCCTGCAGATGATCTAACTCAAATGGCAGACACACACACACACACACACACACACACACACACACACACACACACACACACACACACACACACACACACACACCACACACACACACACACACACACACACACACACACACACACACACACACACACACACACACCACACACACCACACACACACACACACACACACACCCACACACACACACACACACACACACACACACACACACACACACACACACACACACACACACACACACACACCACACACACACACACACACACACACACACACACACACACACACACACACACCACACACACACACACACACACACACACACCACACACACACACACACACACACACACACACACCACACACCACACACACACACACACACACACACACACACCACACACACACACACACACACACACACACACACACACACACACACACACACACACACACACCACACACACACACACACACACACACACACAACACACACACACACACACACACACACCACACACACAACACACACACACACACTGTTCCTTTAGCAATATAGTAGAAAGATGCGACGCTGACAAATAGGATGTAGCTTCATTCTGGTGGAAAAGTGGTCCCTATCAATGAAGATTCTTGCCAAGAACACATTTCAACATGCAAGGGGGTTGTTGGGATAGGGGGGGGAGGGACCGTCCTTTCTATCCGAAGACAGATGGGAACGCGTCTCCTGGCGCCGTCTTCCGGTGGTGTTGCCCCAAGCTAAGCGCAAATTAAATATGAAAAAGAGGGGAGCCAACTAAAATTGCTGACCCAGCCTTGAAAAGTGCGTGTATGAGGGGGGACATAGCCCCTATATAGGCGTAGGGAATGTTTCAAGAGGCGGATGGCCAGGCTCAGGGTATACTTCAGGAGCTTTGCCTGGAAAGCAAGCCCGATGACCGGAGGGGGGGGGGGGGCGTAGAGGTGGAGTTTGCTATCACTCTTTATTCAAAATGTCATGACTGCTAAGCTAGATTTACATCCAAAGCTGCTTCTTACTGGCACACAATCTTGCCCATTCCACGCATCTATTTCATTCGGCAAATAAGGCTACGCAGCTTCTCAAGATTATTCGTCCATTTCAACATTGTCGTTTCTAGGGAGGCGAAATTCCACTGGCGGGCAAGCATTTTAGGTCATTAATGAGGCATTTGCCTCCGCAGGGGAGACCCCAAAATACAGTCTGGACGTGGGATGGTGAGAATTTCGAAAGTGAATCAATGGCTCACACAATGACAGATTTTTCATGCGCCTTGATTTCGCTGGCTTCTTTTCAAAAGATGACATTTGTCGCAGTATTCTAGGCGGAAACAAATTCGGAAACTTGAAATGGCCAAAAACCATGTGACAAAAACCGTAAAACAGGCGATTCTCTTTTAAACACCAAGTCACATAATGAAGGCCTGTCTGTCGTATGGTTCTTATCTGGACCCTGCTCCCGTCCGGCGCCGGCGGCCACCGCCCCGGCCTGACTGTCTCCCGCATGACTGACTGTGAACTGATCGCATGGCTGCCTTGTTGCACATTTTTGGATCAGTATTACTACCAATTGCTATATGAAACATTTGCTGGACACCTGTAACAGTACCTTTTTCCGAATTGTCTTCCCGTACACCGCACCAAATGGCCTCCGGGAAGCTGTCTACCTTAGGTATGAATCGGTCCAACGGACATTTCATTGGCCATCATTCAACGTAGACGACTTTGTGAACCGATAGAATTCAGAGGCCTTATCATAATTTGTGATCTGGGTTCTACAGCAGACATTAAGAACACTGCAAAGGCAAATTAGTTCGATGTGTCCAATCAAAATTTGAAGATAAAAATTTGATTGCAGATCGAGCCGTCAGCCATGTGTATTAACAGGCCAAGCCATGCCTGTCCTAGCCTTTATCCGAAAAGTGGGGGGCAGTTAACACTGCTGGCACCCCTCGCCCCCTGTTCCTACGCCCATGGCTCCCTCACCACCTTGTTCCTGCGCCCATGAACCAGAGCTTCACCCGTCGGCATTTCGGCACAACTAATTTGATACTGTCTTCCTTTGTTGCCAAACGCTTCTTTTATGGCGCATGTAAGCAAATCGGCAGACCCAAACAAGCCCAACTGTTAGAAAGCCTTGAGCCCAGTGGTTAGCGGTCTCTGGTGCTGCGCAATTGCATTGTGTTATTGGTGGAAAATCTAACTGTTGATGCATTCGGACAGCAATGTGAAATTGGTCACACATATGTAGCTCCAAGTAATAAATGCAATCATGCATACACATCTAGCCGTCACATGTTTGTGTGTGATGTCAATGCTGTAGTTTTTTTTGGACGTCAGTGGTGATGCGCATACAACTGGAATAAGGAAGTAACAGCTGAGATGGTCAGCAACAGAAATATTATCTTGGGGGTTTCTTTAGTTAATTTGTCAAAATTATCCACAAAAGTTTTTGGTCAGCTGAATGTTGCCCAGCTTGTGGATGCTAATCTCAAAGATATTGAGCGACACTTGGCATGTTTTGTCATTAATGTTTGTAATTTGAGTGTACATGGGAATGTTGCTTGGGTAAAGCATATAGTGACAGACTTGTGCAATGTCATACACAAGCTCATAGAAAGTAGCAAGAAACAGGTCATCTGCAAGTATGGTTGTGCAGGTAATATAATGCTTTATGTAGCTAAGCTACTTAGTATTGCCAGGGGCAGTCACAGTCATTGTGTTTGGCTAAAATAAGTATATGTACATTTTATCCCTTCCCTGTGAACATCAAGCCATATCAAGGCTATCTAACAGGCTATATCATATTGGGAGGCAGCCCTAGATGGCAGATAGTACATTCTGTCAAATTCCTACATGCTCTTGTAGCATGTACTGCAGGTAACAATATCTACTCCCACAGGAGGCCTCAGATGTCCAAGAGAATATGTTATTTGGTTTAATACACCTGGATTAGGGAAACTGTCTAAATGTATACAAAAATCAAGGGGAGTTCCTAAAGGTTTAGATAGGAAAGCCTGGATTTGTGAGTAGGTCCTGAGTCATACACCCACTCTCCCTGGAAAAGTATGATGTCTTTGCCTTTGCCTCTCATCATCTTTTAATTTTCCCAATATTTGAGTTTCAAGGCATTCCAATTCCAGCCATACAGAGCATGATGACATGATCTTACTGCTCAATCACAATGCACCAATTGTTTTGTAGCTTAGCTACATGTTAGAATGCAGCGATCCATCAGGGCATCATAAATGTCCCATTGTAATGCATTGTAGATGATGAAAGCAAACATTGCATAGTTTTTCCCAGTACAATGTAAGTCTTATCCTGAAGTTAATACTGCTGTCATAATAGCATTTAACTTGAGATGTGTTTATGTCTACTGACCAACAAATGTCTGGCAGCAATGCTGGTGGGATCTGTAAAATTTATTGCTCAATAATGCAAACTTGCAAGTGTGCTTCCTTAGATGCAATGAAACAGTATGTTATAAATGTGTGCAGTGACATGGTGGTTACACAAAAAATCCTGTTCATTTTATATCAAGCCCTTGGAAGCTCAGAGTTGAAATATGCACATGTATGTTGTTCAATCATGACCAGCTGCAAAGCAGACTATCACCACTGCCCTCATCCTTGTTTCTGTGGTAAATCTGCAGTTATCCTATTCCTGGCATGCAACTAACTTGACTAATGCAGGGGTTGTTACAATGCTAAAACCAGCACTTCAGGTGTCACAACCCTCCCATGCTGTTCCACTCTGCCATTACAGACATCAGTATGACATTGGACGAACTACTGGAGCTGTTGGAGGAGGCGTTCGATGCCGCGATGGCCCTGCTGGGGCCGCTGGTTGGCTTCAGCCCGGAGCAGATCGCTAAGGCCGACGCCGACCTCCACGCGCTGGTGACCACCATCAAGCGCCTGGAGCGCCGGGACATCGAGGCGCAGACAGCCGCCGAACGCATCGTCCGCGATCTGATGGAGCTTCTCAACGACCTCGGCGTCGACCCGCACTTCCCTAGTGAGTACCGGGGTTTGCAGGCCGGGCTTGTCGTACTGGCTGAGTCGAACAGCTTTTGAGTCCAAAATTGTGAGTCAACCCGCCCCCCGTCCCGAGTATTCCCCAATCATTGTCCCCACGCGTTGGCATTTCGCCAATCATGTTACAGAGTTGGGTACCGTGTAGAATAGTCCAACGAAATTGATCGCACATGGCATGCTGCAACTGAACAATACAAAATCCAAACTGCTTAATTATAGACGTTGGCAACGACGGTGTTAAGTGCCTAAATGGTCCTTAAAAACTGAGCATTTTATCCAAAAGTGAAACAATGCGCCCAACGCCACGTGGTTCCGAGCCTGACACTGGCGCCTATGCAGCGGACGACACGCCGACGGCGCTGGACGCCGCGCTGGAGGCGTTGCTCGGCGTGCTGGACGGCGCCCTGGACTTTTACGGGCCGCGTTACAACCTGGACCCGTACACGCTGAAGGTCATTAAGGCCGACCTGGCCGGTCTGATGTCAGACATCCGCACCATCGAGCACGGCCACACCCCGCTCACCGACGGCCTGGTCCGCATCGTCGACGACGTCTTCAGTATGCTGAGGGACTTCGGCGTGCCGGTGCTGGACACAGGTGACGGTACCGGACGGCGGACCATCGTGTTCCAAAACGGGGTCCTCTCCAGTATTATTGGAGAATAGTCGTCTGAGTATCTGGATCGTAGCCGTTCATTCGCAATGTTTTGCTTACAGTATCAATAAGCTGTAATCACGACTAAAAGCCGTCCTCGCCACTGGTTGAATTTCCAGTTCGCAGTTCAAGAGTGGCCTCACACCTAGACGACTGTATTGTATACTTACTTGTATACTGATTGTTAGATACTAACTCAGCTTTATGTTGCAGAATCATCTGTTCACCTCGCTGAGAAGTCAGCCCTGTTGAGAAGACAACTGCAGACACTAATGGGTGTCATCAGTGCCGCCCGGAACCCGCCCAGAGCTCTGGCGGCTCCGTCGGTGGCCGACATTAGAAAGCTGGAGTCGGACCTGGTCGCGCTTGGGGAAAACCGTGACGGGGTCACACTTTTTGAGGTGGTTCACGATATGACGCAGGTGGTCAGGCGGTTTGTGCGCGTACTGGCATAAACGGAGGCTTGATTTCAGTGTGCTGCCGACAAGAAGTTTTAGAAATAAATGATATCCATAAAAGGGCTAAATTTGGAGTCCTTCAGTCTCATGTGCATGTAAACGCAAATTTGCGAAAGCGATCATATGGCGTTTATTCATGTTATCAGTAATCCATGCAATTCTGAGGCCACGTTCACAATGTGCAATGGTCTTATCGAAACGGATGAAGTGCTCGAATTGCACATGCCGTTTCAGCCTCAGAACCTAAAAAATGAGACACGTGGAAGTTGATACCCGACTGGCCCCGTGCGGCGGCTAAGCAGCAGTCTCTTCGCTGGGAGAGCCGCCCCATTCGGACCACACGGCGGGCGCCCTTATGCAGTGTGAGCGAGTCAGCAGCCACCGCTGCGTCCTTCTTTTCTGAGGTCTTGTGTCTCAGGGGGCGGTCAGGTGGTGCCAGGGAACTGGAGCTTCTCGTACCGCGAGCTCTCGATGGGCAGGTGCATCCACACTTCGTTGGGGTTGTTCATGACGGCCGGAGGAACCTGCGTGGTGACACACGTAAAAGGGACTGTACCGGCTTAGCCGTTGATGACAAAGTGTCGAGCTGCTTCAACACGTCATTAGTAGCGGGTCGAGGCGCGTGAAACGTTTCGCAGGCCGGGACCGAATGAGCAGTGATCCTTTAAGTATAATAATACCAAAGCGGAAATGTGGTGAATGCCCATTAACGTTCTAAAAGTTCCGAAGCTTTTGTGCTAAATGAATCATCGCGACGCCCAAATAAATGTGGGATTGTAATGCTAAGTCCTGCATGCATCGCTGACAACCACTTTAATAGGGCTTACTTTATATGGCATAAGAAAGAACGGCCTTCAGCTCCTTTTTTTGGCATCATGACTGAAGCTTTACGTTAAGTCGACCAGCTTCAGTATGCCAGAAGTTACTGGTGAAACAACGTAGTACTACACAAAGATAATATTGACCGTAATGTTCATATTGACGGTGGTATTTTCTGAGCCCTTGCCACTCTTGAGGATGAGCACAGGTCCACATCTTGAGTATCCTCAAGTGTCAATATAATCGTTTGGGACTACCATGTCGGATAACTAATATCTCCTGGTATAATGGAGGTCGTCAGTCAATACATGCCTGTGTATGCTTTGACAGCAGTCACGAGCAGGCTGAAACCTGAACGACGGGCAGACGTGTGTGGGGCGGGGGCAACGGAAAGCAATGAAATGGCGCCACCACGGGCAGAAATTTCAACTACGCAACGGAACTGCCGCCGCTACGCAGTCGGATCACAAGACATCCAACATTAATGATCTGGTGCTGCGCATTGAGCACCTTGAGCATTCTTAAACCCGGTTATTCTTTAAAGGAAGCCGGTTCATCTGGCACTACACCGAATCATTATCGTGCGTCTGAGTGACACATTGGTGCAAAAGCGACAGGTCGTACGATCCTCGCCGCGGAAATCTGAACATAGATAGAAGACACGGGATCATACACTGCATCACCGGTGCCAGCCAGCACATGCTCTGGTCGAGAAGCCAACAGACAACCAGCCGAGCGAACCCTTACAGTGCCCGAAGTCCAGACAGCTCGTGAGAAACAAACATCACCATGTCAGGTCACTGACATGAAATGGGGCGGAGATGAGCAAGGTCCCTAGCGGTCTGTACACCTGCTGGCGCGGGAGGCACGATGTGGACGATACGATTATGGATTCCACTTAATTTGCCCGTGAGGTCCGATGGACCTGTACTTGGAACGCTGGCAGGCAATCAACAGCCGGGTACCAATGCTCCTAGCAGGATACGGGCGTGCCGCCGCACAGGAGCCGGACATAAGGAACGGATTCAGGACTCGCTGCGGCCGCACCGAAACTCACCTGGAGGTCGTTGACCATGCTTTGCCGGCTGGTGTACTCGCGCAGCATATATGTCTGGTCGGCCTCGTGGTAGAGGCGGGTGTCATTGACGCGCAGCAGCACGCCGTCCACGCGCAGGTAGAACCGCAGCAGCAGGAAGAAGCTGCGTGGCATCACCCGCTGATGGACAAGGGCGGTACACGATCACTGATCAGCAACCTCACACACAACGCACGCACGCGCGCGCGCACGCACCGAGCACCAAATTACATACAAGCAAATATTACCGATGAGAAGTGGGACAAATATACGTATCCAAGTCAGACAGACTGGACAGCAGATTTGGTTTAGTAATGCCCACAATTGTGTAGCAAGTGCCCAATGGCTGCTCACCACTTTGACGCTGCACATGGCGCAACCGTGGTCGGCCAGCTCATCCTCGAACAGCAGAATGTCCTCATAGAACATGATTTTCTCCTTCTGCTTGAGCTTCTCCATATCGATGCGGTCGTCTGTGGGTTGCGGTAACGGCTTCTGGTGGCCCAGCAGTGTGCCTTGGTAGTCAGTGCTGAATGTCCAGTCAAACGGCCTCGACACCGAGTTGATCTGCGGCAGGTGGCCGCTGCAAGCAGAGACATGCGTTTACGCACGGGCGCCGTCGCGCCACATCCGTCGCCAGTGTTGTCAGGTACCAACAGAGACCAGTAGAGGGTGTCGGAACATCATGAACGCTACGCGAGCTGCGGCCGTAGCAGTCACCAGTCGTGTGCACCGCCCGCCCATATAGGACTGCCCAATGTTAAAGACCTTCCGCTATTCCTCTCCGTGAAAGCACCTCGCCGCCAAATTTGCGCTCTCACCGTGAACTCTTCCACTCGTTTGCGCACGCGACCTTCACAAGGTCCTCGTGGTCGTTGACCCGCTTGAGCGCGTCCAGCGCGTTGAACTCGATGCCGTAGCCGGCCGTGTGCTGTATCCGCAGCGTATTGTCCGGGAAGCACATCTCCGGCAGGCCCGGCAGTGACAGCTGGCGGCTGTACCTGTCCGCCGCGCAGGCGCCAGGGAGTTAATCCAGTGAACTGACCAGCCGACCAGTCAGGCACAAAGGCAAGTTGGCGTCCTGTAATGAAGCCGACCAAACACTGCATCATCTACATCACGTCCTAATGCGACTTTAACAGCCACATGAAGACCAGAAGATGATCACGTTCAATCACGAATTTGATGCCCTGCGTGGCCAACACCTAATGCTGCACAAATCCTTCATAAGCCATACACCAACCAGCTGGCCAGTATAATGGACCGGTCATATGGGGTAGCATCTGCGGCTGCGCTGGGGACTAGCAGCGAGGAAGTGAGAGTGGCGTATCTCTTACTTGCAGATGGAACAGAGGGTGTGGCTGGTGTCATCGGTGATGGGGCCGCACACCTCCGGCTGTCGGCACGTGGACTCGAGAATGTGCGACTTGGACACCGTCAACGTCCAGGGGCCAAAGTCGAACGTCTGCGCCTGCGGCTGTGACGGCCGCGCGCCCGGCCCGCCCTGCACTGCGCTCATGGCCTGCAGGCGCATGGTGGAATCATTGGGCAAACTGATTAACTGAAACTGAAACTGGGGGTGCGCAAACTGATCGAGGTTGGCACCAGTGTGACGAGCGGCACCATTGTAGACATGATCATGATCGACATGTGGGTGATGCCAAGATATAGGCAACAAACACATGAAATTTATTGAGTGAGGACTGAGAGATGAGTATTCCACATTCTATTTTTTTCAAAATGAGATAGCCATTCTAAAAATCATTTAGCACTGTTCACAGCCATGCCCTTCTTAAGACCAAAACCTTGTTTCTGAGTTGACACCCACAGAATTGTGCACACTATTTTAGGTCATGCAGACATGCACAACATGATACAAATGTCACAACCTAACACCACCTAATTAGCCATTTGGTGCTCAGGCCAGGAGAAATATGACCATCAAATTTTCAGTGTCTGACATAGTCAGCATGACTCATGGGCATCAATGGTCATCAAGTTGCTTTGTATACATTTAGTGCACATTTTAAACATGGGTCCTGCTTTAAGCTGTCATACAAATTTTTGGGCAGTGTACTAGTTTGATGGAAATAAGACTGGGAATACAACTTAGAAAAGTGCCACCACTGCATAATGGCCAAAACAAGTGTGCATAATATTCAGGTTCAGCAATGGGTTCTGCAAACAGGTGCCAGTTAATGCACCACCTATTGACAGATTGAAGAACTATGAATTTGGTAGCAACCCAGATACTATGCAATGCTCCATGATATGGCCAAACAACAACTATTGGGAACCTTATTTACTATATGGATGGGCAAGGCAGTGCTGGCCTTCAATATAAGGCATGCCTGTTTGCTAGGAGGCTACTTGTCTGTAGGTGCCTGATCTAATATATCTCAATTGGAGGAACATATTCAAGTGAGAAAGGGTCAGGTAGACACATCCAGTTTTTCATGCCTCTGAACTTTAGGACATGACATGGCCAAAAGTTGGAGAGAAACTTGGTTGTTGTCATATTTCGGGGAAGTTTAGATCATTTTCCACCAACCAGCCCCCCGCCAAATAATTTTATAAAACTATGCCCCTGATGCTACATGATCGCTTGCTGAATGAGGTATCGTCAATTACAGGCAAAACAGGCTTCGGAACCAGTGCCAGGATGTGAAATGTTCTATAAATCAATGACTTTCAGACTTCTAATGTATTCTGATGTGTTGCTTGAACATCTGGTGGCTTTCCATGCTATCAGAATGCCCTGCATGACAAAATTGCAGCAAATATTTGTAGTTTCCTACAAATACGTAAATCTACCCATCTTAACAACAAACCTCATAGCCACTTAATTGGGCGGTGCTATTTGTGAAAGACCTACTGATTTCACAACATACTTGGTGGAATGGACTCTCAGTATAAATGGTGACTTCTTTTACCTTAAATACATTCAAAGATCAGCTACACTAGTGCTCAGAAGCTGCTAGGACAGCCTACAGCTCATCTATGTTTAAAAATGGCAAGACACGAACACATGACCTGTAACATGGTTGACCTATGATGGAAATTCACTGACTCAAATCCTCAAGCTTCTTGCTCATTTACTTTCCTATTCTGTAACCTAGCACTACAATTGCTCCATTTAGGTATGTAACATTTCATTTGTCATTTAACATGATTGAGCAGTGGAGGGGATGCATATTCAACCTTCAGCCGAGTTCCCCTTCTTCTCTTAGGATGAAGTCACCCGATGTAGGACATCTTTTCATGTGAATGCATGGTAAACCCACACATAGACCCACCACACTCCCCTCCCCAATCGTTTTAGACACCCATGCGAGGTCGGAGTCACAGTTATTCAAGGATGCTACGAACGTCAAACAATTACATCATGCGTTCACTCAACCTATCAAAAATCGAACCGTATTGGGATCCGACGCACATGAATGTAACAGAGGATGGTTAGCGCGAAGTCGCGTTGCACCTTTTTCCTTACGCGCTGAATAAGTAGTACCTGGCGTTAAGGCTACCCAAAAAACACGTCCTCGAGAATGTTTAGTACAAATTCTTCCTAAGAGGAATAAAGGTGTTTACTACCGGGGCGTACAAAAACGACGTCCGCCAATCCAGCAGCAGATTGTTATGCAATTGACAGTTGGATATTCCGAGGCGTCACGATTGCCTCAAAATTTAGTGTACATGACCTTCTCGACACGCCGACTCCGAAAATCAACGTTTTTGGGGTGTGGTCTTGCGTAATTTCTAAGATATACGACGCAGTAGCATCCCAATGCGATATTGTTGTGCGTATGGGCACTAACACTTGAGCGCGTATCTTAACACCAAAGGTTTATTCGGCAGTCACTGCAGCATCGAGTGGCCCGACCGTCCCACGCGCGTGTCGCGGCGTGAGAGGGGCCGGATGTCTGCACAGCGTATCTGTTGGCGCTGACGAAAGGCATATAGGACATTGTAAAACAATTCGCCAAATGAAAGGTCTTTACGAGTTGGAACTAGTTCTGTCGGCGTGAAGAAATAAGGTAAGAGGTAGGAAATAATTGTAGGTACAGCTGGCGGAGTTAACGTGACAAATTCCGAGTGAAAGCCGAAACTGCATAGGGCACGGTGCCATCTAGCGGATGGGCCGGCAGGCGCATTTTCAGTGGCGCCGCCTACAGGTGACGCCGTCTACGATATTGCGGGGTGCCTCGATTGTCTTCAAATTTGGTGTGCAGGGCCTTCTCGGCACGCTGGTTCCGAAAATAACTGTCTTTGGGATGAGTTTTTGCGTAATTTCCAAGATATACGACGCGTATTATCCCAATGTGATATTGCTGGGCGTCTCGATTGCCTCCAAATTTGGTGTGCAGGGCCTCTCAACACGCTGGTTCCGAAAATCTGTGTCTTTGGGGTGGGATTATGTGTAATTTCCAAGATATACGACGCGTAACATCCCAATGTCATATTGCGGGCGTCTCGATTACCTCCAAATTTATTGTGCAGGGCCTTTTCAACCTCGCTGATTCCAAAAAGCATTGACATTGTGATATAATTTTTACGTAACTTTGGATTAAAATGACATAGAATATGACAGTTTTATATTGCCACCTTATTGGCAGTGAAGCAGCTGGATATTAATGTTACCAAAGTACGTGATTTTCCTTATTTGCCCACGGGCATGCTGCTTTCCTTTTAAGGGTTGTTGAGGATGAGGAAGCGCAGTATCGTGGGTTGTAAGAATGTGGAGGCTTTTACACATGACATTTTACGGGGCAATCTGATTTTTGGACACTGTTGGACGGACAGCTGATCCGTCCTCGTGCTTTCGATTGGACTTTGGACAATCGTTCCCGGAAAAACGTCTGGTCAGGAGATATGATCCCACCATTACACAAATGCAAAGTGATCGTTCTCGCTGCCGCTGCTTTTGATTCTTATGACAGTACTAAAGCGTATCCGTGGGTCTGTGAAAGCCGACTGCTTTGGGATTTGAATCAAGTTTGATTTTTTTTTGCAATTTGTACACATGTGAAGTGTATTTTACGTTACAAACAACACTCTAGAAAAGTTTGACTTTATTACATTTTCTGCATATGGAAATGAACGTAAGACACAATGCTTGAATATCAGATAGGCACATCGGAGCTCACAATAAATCAGTTCTAAAACGCCAGCCTCAAGGCTACCATCACCTGCTTCTTTCGCACTTATGATTTTTGTTATTCTTGGGGTCACACACGCCGCGCTCCTATGAAAATTTGATGCACGGTAGCACGCTGATCTTGCCACACATCTTCGCCGCTACCCAGCCAGTCATCTCGCATGACGGCTATCACAGGAGTACGAACACGCGACAGGCAATGCCAGTAAAAACGTCGCTTCACGGGGGAAGAGAATCATCAACGGTAAATGGCCGCAGCCCCAGTTTGTTTCCACCCCCAGGCTGATCCACTGCGTGAAACAGTGTGGGATGCAGGCAACAAAATCCATCAGTGACGCGTGGGGACGAGGCTGGTTGCCGTCAGCACCTGGATGAGGACAGGGTCTTTGGCAATCAGCGCCTGGTGCCGCACGTCGTGTGCCGTCTCCTGCTTCGGCACGCGGCTGGCTATCAGCTGTTTGGGCCCGCTGACCACCGGTGTGTCGCCACCGCCGTCCGGCCAGCTCGCGTGGTGCAGCGTCTCCACCACAGTCATCAGCAGCGGGCTGATGTGGCCAGCCAGCCAACAACATGGGCATGGCGTGCACAGGTAGCATGCGCTGCTCCACCAGCGTCACCACCGTCCTTGGGAGATAAGACAGACGGTGACATCACCCAGATCTTCAGGCCCCAGCGGTGAGGCACGATTGGTTTGGTCACAAGCGACATCTGGTCAGTTTTTGGTCAGGACAAACAGTGGCAGTGACTACGTCGGACTATTACTCCACCACCTTAAAGGTCAGAAACGAAACAAAGCTGAGAAAGATGCCACTGGGCCATACCACCATGCCAATAATATCACATACCACACGGTTATCATTCACATCTCGCGAACTGACCTCCTGTGAACTGATACGGACAGGTCAAAAGGCGAATTCCAAGACACATATTCCAAAGCGCAACCGGGTTGGCACGCGTCGTATATCTCGGAAATTACGCAAAACCCCACCCAAAGACAGCGATTTTCGGAATCAGCGTGTTGAGAACGCTCTGCACACCGAATTTGGAGGCAATCGAGACGCCCCGCAATATCCAACTGGGATGCTACGAGTCGTATAATTCGGAAATTACACAAAATCCCACCCCAAGGGCAGTAATTTTCGGAATCAGCGTGCTGAGAAGGCCCTGCACACCAAATTTGAAGGCAATCGAGACGCCCCGCAATACCCAAATGAGGTGTCACGCGTCGTATAACTCGGAAGTTACGCAAAATCCCACCCCAAAGGCGATGATTTTCGGAATCAGCGTGTTGAGAAGGCACTGCACACCAAATTTGGAGGCAATGGAGACGCCCTGTAATATCACATTGCGATACTACGCGTCGTATAACTCGGAAATTACGCAAAAATCCGCCCCAAAGACAGTGATTTTCGGAATCAGCGTGTCGAGAACGTCATGTACACCAAATTTTGAGGCGATCATGACGCCCCGGAATATCCAACTGGCAATTGCATATCAATCTGCTGCTAGATTGACAGACGTTAACCTAGGTTGGACTTTGGCATCACAACATTAATACTGGGCGCGGGTGATGTCTGCGTTTTGTGTGGGTCTTTGTTTGGTTTTAGTTGTGCTGCTATTAACTGCTCATCCCTGCGTGGGGCAGGCCTTGCAGTCTGATCATTGGGGTGTGTCATCGAGCGGGCGAATCTCTTTGTTTTGGTGCGTGTGAACCTAATGTTTATTTGCAATTCATGTGCTTTTTCGTGGGAGATACGGGGTTATTAGTCTAGTTTTGTCGGTACTGAAACATTTCTTTCGAGCAATTGCTTGCGTGAGCATACCAAAGGCTACGCGGTCGCGCACAAAACATTTTGTGACAGGCCACCCGGCTCTACTGTACCAGCGCCAGTTGCCGACTACGAGAAAGCCTTGAGCTTTATCAAGTGACTGAACGAATCAAAGAGGAATCTCACTAATACCATCTTCAAGACCGTGACGGTAGAAGTCAGAGTACTGTGGACCAACGAAGCGATCCCTACTCATGATCTGTGTTTTTTTGTGACACGTGATATGTGATGTGATATAATATGATATGATATGTGATACGTGATAGATACGTGACAAAAATGTTCGGAAAGGATTGATATCATCCCAACAGAGCTGTCAACAGATAATCAAGAAAAGAAAGAAAGTGACACAGCAACGCCGCCACCGCGAAATTCAACAAGCCTCTTGATGTCTCGAAATGCCACTGCAAGCCTCAGTGCAGCTTTCCATGCCCAGTTGCCTGCACAGTGTATCAGGAGGAGGTTGCCATCAAGGACCAGTGCAGGCACCAGAAGCTTTCCCTGGGGTCATATGACCGGGATACAGTTGTGACTAGGGAGGCTCGCGAGATGCGGAGGGTGTTCACACAACTCCAGGGGCGTCGTGGCTCGGCCGCCAGTGAGGCGGTGTCTGCTGCTGAATCTGAATCGCCTTCCCCGCCGACTGCTGAGCCCGCGCCGCCTGCTGAGCCAGCGCTGGCTGCTAGTGCTGACCCCGAGCCTGCTCCCGGACCAAGTGGTCTCAGCGCTGGCGAGTCAGCTGAGAGCACGGATACATGTATTTATTCACGGTTCCGTACATGGTGGAAAACGGCGACGACGCCGATTGTTCGTTCCGGTTGAGACCACTGCTATATATTATAACGTTAACGATCTGACTAACACCGCTCTGGCGGTTGACAGCTACGGTGGCGCGAAACGAGTCTCTGCTGCTATCATCGCCTTTCAACAAGATGGCATAGACTGGCCACTTGGAATCAAATATCGTAGATCCTGAGAAGATCTGCTGCGAAAGAGACAAAGGGAGAAAAGAGACGGCTCGTCAAAACGCTGGAGCAATCCACGAGTCAGGTTTGACCATCCTCTACTCCGACGGCCGCGAAAACAGGAGCTGCATGAGCCACACGGAGCCTTCCGGCTGTTTGAGCTGGCCACCGAGTCACCCGTGCACTGGTTCATCTGCCAGCTGCGTGGCAACGAGCTAAACCTCCTCCATCTGCTACTGGGCTTGGAAGGCACGACCACGGGATCAGATTTTTTTCTCGACCCGTCGGCAAGACCTGCGCCGGAGAGATCCGGGAAAGGGACGTTGTGGTATTTAAGCCTAGGTCGGGGCACGTGCCAAACTTGCCAATCGACCTGATTCAGCAGCTGAACACCAACCAGCAGCTGCTGTGCCTTCTGGCCTCCGACGTTCAGAACGGCTTTGTCCGAAACGTGGCAGCCCAGCGGCGAATGGGACCATCGAACCATGCCATGTATATATGAAAACGCATTATCTTCGAATTTATAGCAATAAGTGTTTAAAGTCCATCAAGAATCAATCGATAT